GAGAACTGTGGGAGGCTACGGCTCTGATTTTGGGAGTTTTCCAGACCCCCAAACCCCAAAAGAAGAACTGTAGGGGGCTATGTTTCTTATTCTGTGCTTTTCCAGGCCCCCAAAAGCCCCCAAATGCGAGACGTAGGAGATGACCTGTCTTGTTTTGCTTGGTTTTTCCAGGCCCCAAAAAATTCAAAAAGATCAGTAGGGTGCTACGTTTCTTATTCGGTGGGGGCATTCCAAAACCCTTAAACAAGAAAGGTAGGGGCTACGTTTCTTGTTTTGGATGTTTTGCAGGCCCCCAAGACCCTCAAAATAAGAGATGTAGGGGGCTACGCTTCTTGTTTTGACGGTTATCCAGAACCCGTGAAACAAGAACTGTGGGGGGCTGCATCTCTTATTGTGGGGATATTTCCAAGCCCCCAAGACCCCCAAAAAAGAAATGAAGGGACTGCGTTTCTGATTTTGGTAATTTTCCAGGCCCCCAAAACCCACCAAAGAAGAAATGTAGGGACTGCGTTTCTAATTTTGAGGGATTTCCAGCCCCCCAAGAACCACCCAAAGAAAAGATGTAGGGACTGTGTTTCTTATTTTGGGGGTTCCTACGTTTGTGTGTTATACTAACTAAACCGTAAAGCCCAAAGGCCAAGGGCATGGTGCCACGAAGGTAGCAGCATCTTGGCTTGGCCGTAACCCTTCTTCGACCAAGCACAGCTTGCAACAACTCACGAGTTACACAACGATGTAGAGTCAGCTCAACCAATGACCTCTCTATGTGTTTTAGAGCATGTCGCTTGATTCGTACAACGGTGAAGAACTTTTCTGCTTGGAGAAAAGTACAGTCACAAGACGCCTTCAAGTTTCAGCAATAATTCTTCTTTATACAGCATATCACCGCAAGGCCTGCTGCATCACCACAGTACACGCCCCACCCCACCCGTTGTACAATCTACTCAGTACTGTGGAATCAGCCTCTGGCCGCTGCCCATCTGCATCGCTCGCATTGACAGTGGCTCAGGCTTGCGAAAGGCCCGGCCGCTTTTGTACTCTACGGTGAAAGCATAAATTAATCAGCACATGCAAGTACATCATGAAATGTTCCAAACACGTCTGGAATGTCTTCGTGGCTCACAGGTGATCTTTGCCGTTGGTGGAGCAGCCGCGACAGCTCTGCTGTCATGGTATTTTGGCGGCTGCGGTATATTTTATCCATGAAGAATATCTTGTAGTATACATACGGTATACGAGTAATCTGACAGGGTCGTATACTCTAGTACATGCCGGTGTGTGTAAATATCTGCACATATACGTATACATATACGTGCTGCCCCCCTTCAGAACCCATCCGGAACGCGAAATTCATCAAGAAAACCTTTTGAAGCCAACTCAAGAGGAAAATCCACCGATAACACGAAATCCATCAAGATGGCCCACTTCAATTTAACATCTGGAACTAGATGATAACCCAGCGAAAACGCAAAATCCATCAAGAGAACCCGTTTGGACCCGCCCAAAACGCTAACTCCGTCAAAACGATCCTTTTCAAACTACGCGAAAACGCGAAATCTATCAAGACAAACCTTTTCAAACTCATATTGGCAGTAAGAGGATAATCCGCCGAAAACACAAAGTCCATCAAGACGATCTCTTTGAAAGCAACCAGAGGGACCAAGTTAATCGAGACAACCCCTTTCAAATTGACATGTAGAATAGGAAGATACTCCACAGCTCCTGAGCAGCCATGGCTTCTGTCAGTTACACTGTGTCTAGATGTATTGCTAGCATGCATGGAATGAACAGTTCCCGAGCCTGTCAAAAATCTGCAACTTGTGCTACACATATCGTGTTACACATATAAATGCACAATGATCGAGCTAGAGAAGCAGGTAGTACATCCAGGCGGAGGCACTTTGGTTTCAGGTCTTTTTGCATGAAAGCATGAAACCGCATGCTGTCCGCACAAACAGCATACATGACATTTCGAAACGAAGCAAAAAAAATCCATCAAGACGAGCCCTTTCAAAACTAGTAAGAGGATAATCCACCGAGGACATGAATTCCATCAAGACAACCCTTGTCAAATTAACATTTGGAATGCGAGGGTAACTCAGCGAGCGAAAACAGGAAATCAGGAAGACATTCCTGTTCGGAACGACCAAAAGCACGAAATCCATCTTACATTAACTCTTGGAAAAAGATGATAATATCAACACTCCAGCACTACCGCTTTGACATGTCCACGTATGTCCATAACATGGACATATCATGCTAAGACACTCCCAATATGTGCTCCAGCAAGCCAAAAGCAAGTAGTAAATCACAAATATTTGTAGGCATGAAGCATCCCACCATTTGCAAGCGGTGAATGTCTGTCACGTTTGCAACATCTCGCCGCTGAGAGATTCTCCGAGTAATTGTCCGTCATTTTTCGAGATTAGCTTGCTGCATCTATGCATACATGTCACATTTGCTTTTTGTTGGTTTGGTGCGCTTCGCATCTCCCCTTGACGAGCATTTCTGTTTTCGAATGCCACAGTGAAAAAAACCTTCTTGCCGGTCCCGTGCTGCTGCAACTACCCGATATCATCTTAGTTTTGGATTCCAAAACTCCAGAATGAAGACTGAAGATTACAGCAGGCATACACGTGTAGGCCCTTGTTTAAAGGACTGTAGTATTTGTAGGGGAGCACAATGCTTTAAAGAGCTCAGTGCACATCCGCACGCGAAGGGCCTGCAGGCATACCCGACTGCGTTAAATGTGGTCGCATGCCATGAATGCTCCAACTGCCAGCATGTGTTGGTGGACTGAATCCTGCATGACTTTAGGGACCCCAAACCTTAGGAATAACGGTATATTCTTAATTATGAGTAATGCAGGACCATGCCCACATGCACATGCAGTATGTCCACGAGCATGTTTACATATATGCGTATAAAGGTATATTATACGTAAATATGTATATATATACACATATATATATGAATATATACATATGTATATATATATGTACATATATATACATACATATGGTCACCCCCCCAAGATCCATATTCAGAGGTCTTCAGTCCAGTTTTTCTATTAACATCTGCAACATAGCTTTCCTCAGAGCAGCTGAAAACGCCATAAATTACATTGCTTTAGCGTTATCCAACACATATTCAGCTTCATGAAGCTGAATGCTTCATCGTCCTGCAATGCTTCCAGGGAGGTCCGGAATCCGGACCTTGGGAAGTGCTTTAATGTACCATGATATATGATAATATGATACGAAATATACTATAGATATTATCTATCATAATATCATATCCTCTAATACAGTACATCACAGTATAGTGTAGTATAGTATAGTATGGTATAACATAACATAATACCATATATAATGTATTATTATATAGTATCAGGTAAGATAAGGTAAAGTAATGCCATGTAATGTGTAATGTAATGTAATACATTCATATATGTGCTGGTATATGTGCATGTCTATGTATATTTTGTACAATGTTTGCATTTTGCTGGGCGTGTCGCAGGAAGATCAGCACCGTCGAGCGCCGAGACGTGGAGCTCCTTGGCAAGAGAATGGGCCCGCGTGGACGGACGAGCAAGTGCGGCAAGTGCATCATGGCAGCTCCGGAAGACGAGTAGACTGATGCCCTAAAAACCACCCAAAGCAAGACTTTAGAGACTGCGTTTTCTTATTTTGGGGTTTCCTACATTTGTCAACTTAGGGGGGGTTTTGGGGCATGGAAAACCCTTTAAACGAAAAAAACGTAGCCCTCTGCATTTCTTATTTAGGGGCTTTGGGAGGCCCGGAAACCACCCAGAAGTGTAGCCCCTGGCACTTGTGGTTGCTTTTGGAGGCTGGAAAATCACCAAAATCAGAACCGCGGCTCCTTAAGGACCAAGCCAAAGTTGAAAAATGGCCCCAAGCCGCTGGGTACACTTCATTTTGTGGTTAGAAGGCAAATGGCTTTTTGTGTTATCGAGCCGACGTAGCTCCGACATTTCTGAACCAATCATTTCTCCGAAACAGTCATTTTTTAATGATTGCACTGCACTTTACGTGTTTAATCGAGGTTTCGCTATTCTGGGGGTTAGATCAGCTAGTTCATTATAGACCAAGGCAGGGATTTCCACAAGGTGCAGAGACCCCGTCAAACACAGCGGGCGAGAATCCAGGCATGGAAGAAGCAGTGGAGAACGCAGAAAGGAGAGGCAGCCATTCAGGTGAGAAAACCACCTGCAACGATTTGTGCTGTACTCAAAAACGTCCTTCTCTGCCCCTTTTGCATACCAAAGTAGTTTGCATACTAACGCAGGCTGTAGGCTGCATGGCTCATTCAGCGACGAAGCCTAAGCAGGCAGTTCAATAGTTGTCAACGCAACACGAACACAAAGCTGCATACGCGGCGCCTTCATGAAGGCTCCCGTTTACTCACAGCTTCAATCCTGCAATGTTTTTGCACACTTGTTCGTATTCTGAGACCGCCCACAAGAGCGTTCAGGATTCGGGGTTTTCCGTCTGTTTCGGGCTCCCATGCTTTCCTGCAAGATTCGACGTGAGCGCTAAAGACTAGTTTTCCCAGTTCCGTTGGATTGATAGCACTTCAGTTGGACCGGTTGAATGCGGCTGGCTCAAGATCCTGGATCCAGCCTTAGCCCTAGCTAAACACAACACATTCGACCATGTTCCAAGACCCTATGACATGTGAACCCCTGCAAGCTTGCTTTGCACTTCCAGTCTTCTACCCCGAACCCCCATCTAAGAATTTAAGATGCCACATTATTACTGGCGGTAGCAGAAACATTTGACAGAAGATTTGACAGGATTGCATGAAACTGACAATACATTAGGTGCAAAAGTATTTCCAACACGTGGGTTTTGGATTGTCTTTTTTTTGCTAGGGGCGCGCCCTGCCCAATCACCGTCTGCGCGGGCACTCACGTGTTCTTGGCCTTAGACGTCGCACCATGGGGTTGACATAGTCCTCAGCCCATGGAAGCATGAAGCATGACCACAAAGCTCATGGACGTTGCAGAAATTCGTTTCACCCAGGCTCGGGTCAGGTCTGGGTTTGTGGGGCGCAGCGTTTGGGGTCTGGGGTCTGCTTTGGTGTTTACATGGATGAACATGGCATAGTCTCAATCACATGTTCCGACTTGTCCATCTTTTGATCCAGATACATACCAGCGTAAAGGATGGAATGTACTGGAACGCGATGTAAGGTCGCCCTACAGGCGCGGGAGCCCTACCAAAAGCCCTTGCCGCTGATCATGCAATGAGCTTTGCAAAAGCGTGTATCAACTGAAATCTTAGAGCAGCAGAGCGGGAAGTGGCAAACGCGGAATTTTAGTCTGACGCATTTTGTAAAATTGTGGCTTTGCCAATGGAATTTCACCGTTTTTCTTGCAAGCCCCGTCTAGCATGTGGTATCCAATTATCCACCTCGCAGTATTCCTTGGAGGAGTTGGATAGACGTACATTACAATCCTGTCATACAACATGAGACGTACATGCAGCGGCTAGGAGCATGTGTACGACACCTTCAATGCCAACTCGGACCGCTTTTCTGTTGCGAGGGAAGCTGATCTTGACTTTGAATCGACAAACTGCTTTGTCTTCCACGTAAAGTTCGTAGTCACAGTTTGGCAACGGCATAGTGACAGTCATGCTATGTCATGCTGCCGTGATGTCCCCTTCCATCGGAATCAACCCGTAGATGGGCAATGCGTGCTGTTGCACAAAGTGCAGCATGCCGTGTTTGTTACCGTCTCATTGCGGTGGGGATGCTCTGAATCTTCATTGATTGGCATACCCGAAGCAAGCATGCAAGCAAGGAGTGTGAGGCTGATGGAGGTGCGCAAGTCTTTTGCCAACAGCTAGGGCAGCTCGTGTGAGACTCCTTGGCCCCAAGCTTCCCAAAATTCCTGAAACTCTGGAATCCCTTTCTAGCCTTGCTGTTCTAAGCCTTCCACAGCACTGCTTATCCCATATCTCTGACTTCCTAACTTGCAGTCACTCCCTGAACCGAAGCCACCCAGATGATGAAAGCCGCACAGAAATGCTCCCAAAGCTGATGCCTGGCTGCGGCAGGACCGCGCTGGCAGCGTCTTAGACCTGATGGACTCAATTCTGAAAGGCAGCCTCGACTATTCCGTAAGGTTCCTTCTGGAGGTGAACAGGAAAAGCAGTAAGGTTTGACTTTTTTGACCAAGCTCCGTGAGCCATGGACAGGGGAGAAAACTCCTTGGGACATTCCCCTCATCCGTGTGGCCGCCAAGAAGGGTGCATACTGGTGCCAACCCGAGTTTTTGTGGGGGGCTGGAAAGTTCCCTGGTGTACATTGCAATTACATCGTTCAGAGTTTGTTTGTAGCAGGTACAACTATCAGAGATTTTGGGGATGAGGAGTTTGTATCCTAAGGTTTAGCGACCAGGTTCTAGGGCTCTAGGCACAATTGTGCTCAAGAGATTGAGATGTACTTTAGTCTCGCAGGATCTGCACGCATCAAGTTCACCCACAGGTCTTAGCGTGGAGGACTTTGTTGGTGGCTTCTAGTCTTGGATGGGTGGAGGGATCATGGGACCACAGCCGCGCCGCCTCAGATCAAGTTGTGCATTCAGGAGAAAGCTTTTTCGGGGACAAGCTCAGTTGCAATGGCGCTGCGAACCCATGGGGGCATCACCATGATGTGCAAAGTTGGGATTTGCATCGCATTGTGGAAATTCGGAACAAGCACCTGGGCTTTACCTCGCCCATGCACTCCGATATGTTGGAAAGCATCCTTCAGTCCCGGAATTTCAATCCTAAGCCTCAGGCTGCACACCTCGAATCCCAGTGCCCAAAATGCCATACCTTGCACTCTCAGAGCTTCCAGGTGCGTTGACAACCGCCGGCTCTTCACATACAAGCACCTCCAGTTGGGTACGATACCCGTCGAGGCAGTCAGTATGCGTTAAGCCTTGCAAGGTAATGTGTTGGATCTGGCTGAAGCGTGCTCCGAATACTCCCCCCACCTCGTGCACCTTGAAGCTTGTCCGCCAACCCAAACATGCTTTCAGAACACTCGTAGCGTGACCTTCAAGTCCTCGAGCACTCAAGAATACTCTATCAATACCATCGCTGAGCAAATGCCAGCTGAAGGTTGCGCTGGGGAACGTGCAAAAAGACGCATATGGAGACCGCCATTGTGACCCATGCTGACAGGTGTTTAGTTGGAAGGACAACCGTGAGCGATGCCCTTGGAATGTCTGTGTCCACATCTGGGGGGCTTCTACGATAATGATTAAACTCAATATTGGTGAAAGAATCTTTAGCTCCAGCTGCTAACTCCATACACCACTGAAGCCCAAAGAGGCATGAAGGAGTAAAGCGCTGGGCTCAGGATTTACGGAGGGGTGATCGTGTAGTGTAGCATCAAACCGTCGTAGCCCTTTCGTAGCAGCAACAAACTCTTCAAGAGTGCGTTGTCTGGCACTTCTTGAATTTGCACCCTAGCGTTTGCAATTGTGGATGATCTAGGCCAGCCGCCTGCGATGTAAGCCGTGGCAAGCCATGAAAGGACACTGCTTCGACCCCTATCCCACATGACCACACCAAAAAGACTGATCTCGGAATTTATGTTTGAGTCGGCTTTCCTGGGCCATTGTCCCAAATCAAAAGTCTTGAAAGCTCCGCAGCCTGACACCCGACACCTTACGCCTCTCAATCTCAGGTTTGAGCTCAAATACAAGAACGGTCTACCGCCAGGATCCTACCTGAACAAGGATATCTCTTACTCTGCTCTGCCAGAAGGTACATAAAGAAATAGATCGCGATGTGTACAGCTGTTGGCTTGCACACTTCATATCAGCCCTTGCATGCCCAATGTTTCTCCCACCCATAGCAGGAGACTGCAGGGTCAATGAGAAGGTTTCTTGTTGAGGTGAGGTCGCGTATTTCCATTCGTCAACTTTGAAGTAGCACAAGGCCTCAGGGTGACAACACTGCCCTCATAGATAAAAAGTATTGCTCAAGGTTCCGTCAACAGACGAGCAATGGCCTCCGAATTGGCCTCCTTCAAAGAAGTGGTCGGCCATTTCCAAGGATTGGCTTCCTTGCTTGCTTCAATTGCACTTTCGGGATTGGGGCTGCTGTTTTGCCGGGCTTTTGGGTCACATGCTGACGCTGTAATAATTAAGACTTGTAACTGACGGCACGGGCAATTTTGTTGCACTGAGCAAGCAAGCCTCGACCCAGAGCTCAGTGAGGCAAAGCTATGAATTTGGAATTTCTGCTCTTGCAGTAGTCAAGTGTCCCTGACATGAGCTCTAGAGAAATGAGCTCGCATAGACCCCAAACCCAAAAGCTTCTGCTTTCAAGTCCGAAGCAATTTTGGCAGAGCTTCGCAGTTGCAGAAGTTTCTGATCGAACTTGCAAGTAGAGGTTTGAAGCTGGCGTGGTTGCAATGTTCTGTCAGGCCATAGCTACCCAGGGCCGACTACCTGAGAGAAGGTCAGGCATGTGAGGTTCATCCGTCCCAAGAAACACAGGAGCCCGGTGGCTGAACCGACGTTGTCAAAGTTCACGAAGTGCCGGTCTCAGAGTTCCTAGAGATTTGAGACGTTGCTATCCTCAGCTTGGAGTACAGCAGGCAAGGGCTAGAGAGTTTGCCATCAAGGGACATGGGGCGCTTGCTTGGGTTGGAAATGGAGCTTTTGAAGGGTGAGGGATAGAATGGTTGACGCTGACAGGGGCTGGCCTGGAACAAGAAGTTGAAGTAGATGGAGGAGGTTCGGCTGAGATGATAGGAAGTTTGAAGACGCTTCCTCAAGAAGTGTTGACATGGATGCTTTGGCTGGAAGCTGTTTTGGCTTTGGGCTCCAGACACCCCCGAGATGGTGCCCAGCGAGCCACTTTCTCTTGGCACCTTCAATAGGGATGTCTGAGGATCTCAGGTATTTGGTGAGACATATTAAATTGCTATAGTAAATCATGTTCTGTACTGATGTTTCGGTAGGATCATCCATGTGCATGTTCTTTTGAGCGTGAAGGTTCTTCACACCAGCACAACAGCGAAAGCATGAGGCCAGAGGCTTGGGATCTGTGAGTTGAGGTTCCGTGAACTCTTTGCATATATTGTTTTTGTTTGCAGTGGCCTTTGGGCTCACCTAAGGGTGCGGAGCTTTGGACTTGTCGTGCTTTGTCCCCTACGCGTAGCCTGGCCCAGACTGCAAACCTGCTCTGCAAACCAAGTTTACTCAATGCGATTACCGCAGCTTATCGATAGAACCATTGATATGCCTGCCCCTCTTCCTCAGATATCAAGACGAATTATGACCATGATTATTCTCCTTCTGTTTTCGTGCCTTACAAGAAGATGCTTGATGTGATTCGCGCTCTGTGTAAAGCATCGCAAAACATCGCCGCGGGTCAGGCCCAGATCGCAGCGCTGCGAAAGAAGCGGGACAAGGTTCACAGCCGATAATTGTTCTTCTCAGAGGGGACAAAGGGCGGAATTGGTATGTAGAGTCTGGATGAGCTTCTTCGAGTTGGAGCTGATTTTGGCGGAACGTGATTGAATTTGCAGATGCAACACATTGAGGGACGTGGCTCTTGAGATGACAAGCTAGGTACATCATCTCCTGTCGAACGTTCTAATCAGAAGAATGCGTACAGTGCTACGCCTAAGTGTGATATGACCTTGCCCTCCAAATCAGGAAGCTCGATCCTGCTCGGATGCGGTCTCCACTGCTGCAGTGGACCCAGCCTGTCACCATAGGGCTTTGGAGGTTTTAAGACTTCGGGATGCAGTCCGAAGGATTCGGATGATAGGTCCACAAAGATTTACGGTTTTGGGTTCCGGGCAACGGGAGGAGTGTGCCGACTTTGGCAGGGTGGAAAACTTGCAAGCAGAATTGCCTTGCAGAATCGATCCTTGAACCCAAATCCTAGGGCGCAGCCCACGCCAAACCCTGCATGAGTCACATGAGGCTGTTTGAGTCTGTTCGGCACTATTGAAGTAGGCATCGGGCTGAGTCCGAAAGCAGCATGCTGCACAATTTGGGCAGCAGATGAGATCATCCTTTTACCCCTAATGGGGTGCTGGGGCATTGGGGAAAGACTTCTGCGGATGCGCATTGAACGTGTGCGGCCCTCTCGTGGGGTTCCTGCGCTTCATCCCACGGATCCCACTTTCAAGCCTCAGGCCAGAAGCCAGCAACTCGGCAACCCACGAGCTACTCCACAAAGTCAAAGCCAAAGCCAACATTGAAGTCTGAGGCGGCTGTGCTAACGTATCGGCTGCGAAACGGAAAAGGACTGAAAAAGGAAGCAGCACGCGCAAGCAAGCATCGTACCTGCAGATGCAGACACCTGCTTTTTCTGAGGCCACCGCCCTGGAGGACACAGCTGTCACCAGGTACAGCTCGGTTCAGAAATGTCTGAATGCTCCGAGCAGGTTGCGAATTTGGTTTACGAGCGGCTGGCTGCTCTCGTGGGTTGGGGTAATCTTGGGGTGCAGCGTTGGGGTCGTGTTCATAGGGAGCTAGCCGCCTTGGGGCTTGGAATTCAGTTAAGGGCACATGGTCAAAGGAAGATGTATCTTTGTTGCTTTGGTGTAGGGCAGCGAGGCCTGAGGTCGCTTCCAGAAATTCTGGCTTGAGTTTGGCAAGGCTAGCCCTAGACCTGAGTTCGAAACCATCACCCCCCCCCAAGCCCAAGCAGCAGATGAGTACAAGTCTCTGGGTGCCATGAACCCGTTGTGGAAGCTGTTCCTCCCCAATCTCTGCACCCCGCCAAACCTGCTGGAAACCTTGCGGACAGCAAAGTCAGTGCTTCAAGCTCCCAGAGGACCTTCTACAGGGTGGCACGACCGGTCCTGAGGCGCAATCCATGCTTCAGACTATAGGTCAAGGTTGGAATGCATTTAAAGTTGTTTGAAGCTTCATGCCCAGGTCCAAGTTGGGTGTTTGCAAGAACAATGATGAGATGAGATGGTCTGCAGGGATTCGGATTCTCACTATCAAACATGCCGACGTGTCCATTTACGTCACTGCAGCTTGTTGGCTTGCATCATCAACGTTCGGCCCTAAACCAAAACATAAAACGTAAGCTCAAAGCCTTGAACCCTATGTCCAATATTGGCTTGCGAATGCTTAATGCCATTGTCATTATTATGTCATTATGTCTATCCGAGTGTTTACAGGCGCTATTGCGCAAAACTGGTTTCCACACGATGCTTCTGCACCTCTTACCCTGCGTTTCTCGCGTTCCCAGGCGTTCAGGAACAGAACAGCTTGAACAGACCTCAGCAGGGATCTACAAGCCATCCCCGACTGAAGCCAAGACCATAGACTATACATCCAGGCCGGGTTCCTGAGTAATCTGGTTTGAAGGGAAATCAGCAATGCACAATCAACTTGAGAAAACTCACCTGGCAGGAAACGCCAAAGAAGCGGAAGAGAAAGTTGAAGAAGGCTGCAGTCATGATTGTAACGGTTTCTTTCTAAGTTTGGATCAAGCCCCGGTCTTGTTCAAAATGGTTTTGTTGTGCTCTTCCTGAAGAAGCCGCCCTACTGGGCTGCTATGAATTGGTTGCTTGACCACCCTGAGCTTACTTCTCAGCACCTCCAATCCTGTCCTTGGGAACCCCCACTGCGCACCTGCATTTCCAAAGTCTCCAGCCCCAAGCATTTTTTGCAATGGCCGTCATTCGTCTCTTCAACAACCTGCATTCGGACAAGCTGTAGCTCTTGCATTCCAACAGGACTCAGTGAAGTCTCCTGCCTAGGTCATCCTTTGGTCATCACAGCTCCTAACTGAGTTACATGTAAGAAATCCCTCGACGAAACCCTGCGCCTTGAACCTTCACTTTGAGGCCATGTCTGACACAAACCGAGCTCCTCGATTGCTGTTCTGTCGGCCTCAGTCAGTTGGAAGCTATAAGTAGATGAGAAACGCCATGGCCCGGGCGTTTCAGCAGGACTTGTCGTCTAGTTCAGGACGTGTCATGAAGTTTCGCTAGTTGGAACTCGCATTGGAATCATGATTTCACAAGTCGATCTGCAAGATGTGAGGCGACGCTTTACCAGACATGTAGACCCTACGTCACAATAGATGGTCCACCCCAAGCAGACCAGGGCCACCGTTGAGCACTGAAGGCTTCTTCAGCCAAGAAGAAGCCTAAGTCTAGTGTGGAGGCCTCCGATCAGCGCAGCCAGATGGGGGGGATTTGTATTGAGGTTTGGAGATTTGAGGGTGGAAGCCCATCTGCAATGCAAGGTACAAGAGAAGGTCAGTGAATCTGAGACTCAACATTGTGTTTGCAAGCTTGACCACTGGCCGGCGCACAACGTTTCTAGGGTTGGCAGGATTTGGTGGAGGGTGCTAAAATGCGCTGCAACTCCGCCAGTGCTCGGGAGACGTTGCGACACTTTGTTCCTGCAGCATCTCTTTTAGATAAAGCCACTACCGAATCAAACCACAAGCATGGAACTTGGCAACTCCTGCCAACAAAGTTAAGCACAACCCTAAGCAAGTCTGCCTTCGAACCGTATCCGCATGTTCAAGGCCGCCGATCACGGGGACAAGGTCACGGTGACGGTGGCAAAAGAGGACCCTTCGTGGAAAGATGCGGCACCGTCTACAGATTGCTGAGACTTGTGCAACATTCTTCAGGGCTTCGTGGCTTGGGGAGGAGTTAATTACACAGTCAACAGGACAGGACTAGCCCGATCGTCTACATGCCCAAACTTTGCGTAATGCATCTCGGCTCTGCGCCAGCAACCAGATGGATCTTCTTTTACGTTATGACCCGGATAGCTTTTCAGGCCTCCATTTCAGGTTGAAACCCCCAAACGAGATTTTTGAGGATTCAGACGATGAGGAGTTCGACGTCGAGATCACAGCGCCTCTGTGATGACAAGCATGGCTCAATGCAAGGCCGGGAAAATTGTGAATAATTAGTAAGCAGTCCACAAATGGGAAGGACTAAGGCCATTGGGATCACCTTGAGGGTCAGGATTTGAAGTTGACGAATTCCAGTTTCTTATTCGGCAGAGAGCCGCTTGCGATTGCATGTAGGCCTCAAGAATGCTTGATCCAGCACAGCGTTTCTGAAGTCAGTGACCCTCGGGGCCAGATACCTGTAGGTTTGTCAATAAAACTCCGATGGCGAATTATGGAGTGGGGATTTGATCATTCATACTGTCAGCCCATTCAACCAGTAGTAGCATTTTTTCTAGACCAGCAGGTGCGTTGTTGAACGACTTCATTCCCAGGTACACCAGGTGTAGATTAGGTAGCACTTCTTAAATCCAGTCTGGAGTGCTGACTCTGCGGTTGGAAGCACTCAGAAATTCGTGGCCAATATAATGAAGGTGAGACTGTTTTCCGGTGATGCCTTAGCTTCATGACTTCTTGGGTTAGCCTCGGATAGGAAGCTTTGATTTGACAACCCCTAGACCCTTGAGGCGAAACGTCGCGACCCGAAACAGAATCCTTGCAGCTGCGCAGCTCAAGCTGCAAAAATCTAATCACCTCTTTAGGGGGCATGCCATTTGGAGTCTCGCTGTAGACGGTTCTCAACTTGCTGATGTCCTCTTGTCGTGTGTTCTGTTGACAGCGTTGAACGCGCTGAGTGCAAATGATTTTCAGACTCTGGCAATGTATATGGGCTCGCACCAGCTGAAGGAAGCTCTGAATAATTAGGCAAAGCTGCCACACTTGAGGCCCCTAGCCGGCATCCCACCCAACGCAAGCAACACAAGCCACGGAACCGCTGAAGCTAAGCGGGTAACACACACCGCTAGCCATCTCAATTCGACGACCCTTGCATGCAAACCAGCTGAGCCATGGAAACCGCGGTCGAGCTGAGGAGCCTTAGGCACCCATCTAGCGCAATACTATTTCATGTGCGTGGCAGGAAAAAGAGGCGAGCTATAAGGGAGTCCGACAGTTCGAGGGGCTGAGGGCATTCTAGACGGCTTGCAAAAGTCTTGGAAGTCTTGCCAATGGTGTAGATGATATACATGAATAGCGGTGCAGGCCTTCATGTTTTGCTTTTGTCTTCACAGGCATTTTCTTCGCAATGCTTCCTTGACACACAACCCTAGACCCTAGAACCCAAATTGTTTCAGCTGAACCTTTGAAAGTGCACAGGACGGCAGCGGGCAGCGAAATTGTGCTGGATCCGCCTGTGCGAGCTGAGGACCCCTTGGAGGACCGTCCTGATCCGAATTGGAGGCTTAGGATTGCGAATTTGGAGCGCAACATGTTATAAATTTCTATATCGATAAAGGCTTTGAATGTTTTGCATTTCAGGTTAAGGTCGCCGGCCTAGGGTAGTTATCGGCTGCTGGCTACACATGTTCTGGAGTTTTATTGGTTGAGACTGTCATTTTTGTTGAACATGCGCGCCTTGCCGACTTGTCCTGGCTCATAAGCAGGATTAAAACTAGACCCCTTGATTCTCAACTTGGTCATATCATCTTAGGCTATGAGCAAAGTCTTCTGGAGCCCAGACCCGATTGCACTCACGCAAAGCAGAAAGCCTACTGTGCCCATTGCGTTTTAAGTCTTGGCGCTCCGATGAAGCGGTCTGCTCCGCAGGATCTGAAAAGACGTGCAGCAGCAGCCCTGAAAGTTGGCAGCTAGAGATGCAATGCAGACCCTCTCAACGGATTTGAGGTTTATGGCTATGGGCGTTCAAGACTGATTTTGGAGCGTTGGGTTTACAAACATTCCTCCAGACGACCGCAGTATGAGCACTGGCATTCTGTTGTGGTCTTGCCTGAGAAATCCAGCGTCAGTGTCTCCACCAAGGCATGTAGAGTCCAGACTGCCCCGTGGTCGCTTTTCTGGAACGTCGTCACAATGTTGCGCTTTGCCGACTAGGAAGAATACGAGGAGGAACGGCAGTACTACCAGTCTAGTGAGTATCAGCAGCAACATTTTCTGAACTGCAGGACAGCCCACCGAGGATTAAAAGCAGACCTAACCGAGACCCATAGAGACAGTTTGCAGGTCAAAAATTGCAAACAAGGTCTCAAACTCCATTTGGGGTCGGAGGTGCTTGGAGAACATTACTTTTCCAGAGCTAAAATCTTGGCACAAGCATGGATGGGAATCTTACCATCTTCCTGAAATCGAGACTGCTTTGCCGCCAGAACTGGCAACGACTTTTTTGGACAGCCCAAATTAGAGCCATCCACAGTATGAGTCTGTGACTTTCAGCCACGCTGGACTCTAGATCATGGAATCTCTACAGCCTCCTCCTCTCCAACCTTGGCTGCTAACAACTGCATCCTAGAAAGGACATACACCATGTGCAAGGCTATCTTCAAGTGATGATCCTTTCTGGGGAGCGAGTGCTTTCAGGCCTCATGATCTAGCTAGGGTGCCAGCTCAGCTATTTTGTTTCGGGGATGGGTCCAGGGATTAAAGCGTTACTGCTCAAGGCTCGATTGGGGATAAGTCTCGAGGTCCGGGGCAAGCTCGCGTTCCGGGCGTGGGTTGGCCTCTTTGAAGCCTGCGGGTGTGCAATCTGTGTTGAGTAAGCAGTTGTACACATCCTAGCAGAAGTTCTGCAGTTCCATGATCATCGTACATATATGATATATGCCTTTGCTTGCGCGTTGAGAGAATTGTGCTTGATGGGTGGATGCTATGGGGCTTCAAGACTCGGCAGGCTTTTGGATTCGGTTCTGCGAACTATGCAATGGAGCTTTCACAGTGAGGGTTCTTCATGAGCACCATCATCTTGATCATCATCCTCATCGTTTTTGTCAGAGCATCGCGGGAGAGGAGGAGGAGAAGGGGGAGCAGGGGGGCGCAGAGGAGGAGGAAGTGTTGTCGGGTCTTCAACTACCCTGAGCTCGGTGTGGAAGTTCGTTTAATGTTATACTGCTATACAACCCGTGCTGCCCGCCAACACGTCCGGAGAACATCATGTCAATGCAAAGCGGGGAAGGGCCAGCACCCACCCATGCTCTCAAGTTACCTGAGTGGAGACGGCTGGCTTCTCAAACTCCACCAACAGCAGAACAATTTTGGAGGCTAGATGTGTGGGTGGGTGGCGTTTGCCTGACAAAACTCACGAGCAGCGTCAGCAAGGCTCATCATGATGCTGAAATTAGTGGTTGATGCAATGCAAGAGTTGCCGCCAAAAGCTGCTATCATCTCGTTGAGCAACTTTAGACTTAGATGGCTTGCCGTGGTGCGCCAAGGCCACAGCTGAAAAATCAGTCCACCGCACCAATATCAGAGACACGTGCAGAAGCTAAAATGCCGTAAAAATGACGGTTGTGTTCCTCCGGACTTAGGAGCCGTGCTGTCAGGGTAGACCAGGAAGCAACAAAGGAAATCGATAGTTTAAGGCAGCGCAACTGCAGCTCGACGCCTTACCGTTCCAATCAAGTGAATGGCACTGGACAGTCATAATGAATGGAATTGACAAACGACTGGGGTTAACATTCCCCAGCCCGGAACTTCGTATCGGTATTGAGCGTAAACCCGGCCAATTTTCCAGGATTTGCGTCTTGTAGCACAAAGTGAAACTGTAGGCCGGCCGGGAAATTTTGAAATTTTCTGGGTAGAGTTGACGAGGCTGAAGCTGTAACCGCAAGCCCTGTAGTGACTTTCATGTTTACACTACAACTCCTCAACGGTTGGGCGGGGCAACTCCTCTTGCCCCATTGTGCCGGCGTATGGGGGCCCCAAATTTTAAATTTTGAAACTGTTACCATCACATCGTGAACCCCTAGAGACGCAGATAAAGCAATGCAGGTGAAGGCTCCATTGCTAGCGCCCTCGAGAACGAGGCATGGCCTGCACCGACACTTTTCGCTGAAAGGGCTGGTTTGAGATCTGTAGGCGCCACTAGAACCACAACATGTAATCTGCTATTGTGAGACTTGTACTAGAGCTCAGATGAGCCAACAACGCAATGAAAAGAGCAATGACCTGCATTAGTGACACAATGCTATCATACCGATTTATGGTATGGTGATGTGCAGGGACTCAACAAAAGCTAGTGCAGGACATGGAAAATTGTTTTTCAGCGTTCCCCGGTTGTGCAAGGGACGTTCATCCCATGCCAGCGTTGAGTTTATTTTGGGAATGGGAAAACCAGCTTCGCCATGAAAGCTAAGCAAAGATGAAAAGCTTGGGTCTTCCTTAGGTTTCATGTTTTTACTTCTTAGCATGGGCGCCCAAGCTCATGCCTCCAGCCGCTTCCCTCTGGCCAAACAAGAATCCTCTTTGGGAGTTTGTGATAGATGTCTCGACCCCGATCTCAGCAACCATGCTGGTAGGGGCTTCAGGGCACATGGCTGGAATTGAGATATATGCTTTTGATTGAAGTCACCGTCCACGCAGTCAAGTAGCTGCGTGTTATTCCTACTTACTCAATCCCGAGGGTCGCAAGACCAGATGTGAGACGAAGCCTCTTACCTCGAAGTCAACTTTTTTTGGGGTATCGACAACTGTTGCCATCAGCAAAGGTCAAAAGCAGTCATGCTCTTGGCAACCCATCCAAGTTGAACAAGTGATATTTCAAGAGTCTTTTCTTTGCGACCAACCCGTACCCTAGGTTTCAGGATGGCGGCAGGAGGCGGCAAGCAGGCGAACGCTCCACAGAAGGGTTCAGTGTTGGGACCCAGGGGTCCAAGAGGTGACCAAAAATCGCTTTGTGTCCGAGAGTGTTGCACCACGGGCTTGAGCCCCACAGAATTGCGCGTCAAAGGCGTCAACGATCACAGGGATGGGCCCTTGAGGGTCTCCAAGAGGGGAGATTGGACTGGGGAGTGGAGTTGAGCTTGGAGTGGGGTGGGAAGAATGGAGAGAGGGAAGAGTGGACTTTTGGAGAGTTGAGTGTAGAGTCAACTCGGTGGAGGATGGAGAGTCGAGAGTCTTCATCGT